ACGGATGATGCACCGTAAATGTAGGTTGCAACAAATGGTATAGTGCAACTTATTAATGTAAGTATTCCGAGGAAAGGATATCCAATTTTACGCGGCATGCACCAAAATGCGTATATCACAAATTGGCTGCAAACGAAAAGCTGAAAGTCAGCCGCTAAATACCAACCGTGCGGAACACACTGAAACATATCAATTAGTCAATATTAATTGATATCACTCGTATGTTATTCCGGATAATATAAGCATAATTCTATTACTAGTTCCGAAGGCGTCAAGTAATTATTAACGTATAAGAGATTTTTCCACCAATTTTTGCTACAATACGCATACTGTTCAACCACAAGATACCAATATGGCCCAGAACCACATAGCGGAAGAATCCAAATGCAAACACCAATTGATATGGCATATAAAGGCGTCAATCTGTAAATCATTCCACATATTAATGGATTCTCAGATAGCACAGGAATATTCTGAGACCCAGGTTTAAATTACTGAATATTTAAATGTTACTGAATACTTTGATATTTGAATATTAGAATATTTAAATTAATTATTTTATGAATATTTATGTACAATATTGTAGACAGACTTTCGTATATTTATAATAAGATGTTTAGAAAAGAATATTCTTAGAACATTTCCCATACAGTTCAAATGTTGAATAGATATCCTAAGAACGTTCTAAGAATATTTGAATATTCTTAGAAAGTTCTTAGGATATCTATTAAACATTTGTACTATATTGGTCGTAAAGTTTACTTGTTGTACATGTATGTACAATGCATTCGTGTAACTGAAAAGTTTTCCACATGTTCTATAAATAATAACATATACTTATTATAGTTCAGTAAAGAAAAGGACGTATCAAAGAAATGAAATATTTGACTTATTCCTTTACAATTGTAAAAGCAAAATCAATAAATCAACTTCATTTTTTATAATTTTTTTGAATTAGTGAATTTATCTTCAATAACTTTGATCTTTACATATGCTGTTATGATCATATTTTAGCCGACGATAGATTTTAATCGTCGCTCATCGTTTATTAAAAGATTTTAACAAAAAAAGTTAATAGGAACGTAATTTTCAAGTATACATTTATGAACTAGAAGTAGGGAAAAGGATTTATAAAGCATAAAAATTTATAGCACGATTATACTGTCTGTTCTTATCTGTGTATGCTATCTAGGCATAATGGGCCATATGTTATGAAACTAAGCATGTATTATGAAACTCTTTGGAATGGATTTCGACCAGAAATATTCTGTTATTCCCCGAATTTCCATTGTCTTTTTTAGGGAAAACGGAATTATTTTCATCAGGATAGATTCCGAAGAATTCCAAATACGTGCTGTTTAAATGGATTATTCTGTGTGTATGTGTGCCTGTGAACATTAGTGCACATGTCCGACTATATGCATATACCTTAAGTATCTGGATACTATATTTTTAAAGAACTTAAGTTGATTATATCGCTCCAAATCTTTTAATAACTTAGTTGAATGTAAAATACCACCTATGGCGAAGAATATAGTCATTGTACTGATAACGTTCACTATTATTGTAACAAAAGGTATTTGGTATAACTGAAAAAAAGGTATTTGGTATAACATCAAAATCAAAAATGTCTTCTCACATGTGGCTTTATACATATTACTGTTAGAACAGAGGGAACATAAATGCGTGTGCAAAGAAAAAAATGAACACAAAATATATTAAAGAAACAAAATCGATATTCTTTATAACAATATTTTGTTTCAACAAGATTAGTTGCATTATCAAATTATCTTTATATAAGCCCTATACGTTTTACATCTACAATTTGCACCACGCTTCTTTCTATACATATATGGGATATAATAATAATAAATAGTAATAATAAATAATAATAATAATAAATAGTTATAACTATTTATATACGAATATGATATAAAGTAACATAAGCAGAATATGTGTATGATCAATATTAATACGTACCTTTTCTATATCAACTGTATTAACAGTGGGATTATATATATATCGTATTACTACATTATGTAGATAAACCACAAAGACCATATTAACGAGACGTATAAAATATATAGAATCAAGTCCTGTATGCGTATAATTCATGTGTAAAATCTTTGCGTAATTTTTTCGAGCAGAGAAGTGTAGCATAATGTTTCCCATTGTAGTCGTGTGATTTCTATCTTTGTTTGACATACTGTCGTACCAAGTACTGATTATTACCA